TTTTCCTTCTGATTTTTGCAGGCTGGCCCCTTCGATCTGCCTGTATTAGTCTCATACAAACGTATAGAGAATGGTTATGTGAAGACTGAAGATGCTGTTACTAATTTGGCAGAAAGATATCCTCTCAGGATACTTTAAAGTGCTCCATATAAACACTGCATATTGTCATGCTGTAGGAAAAAACCCATGGTTTTAACCTAACAGTTCTCTTTGACATTACCAAGGACTGTAAGCAGCCATGCTGAAAGAGCAGCAGCCAGGACCCTGGCCCCACAGTACCTGTTTGTCTTTGGTCTTGTGGCTTCCCCAACCCTCAGAAAAACAATTCTACCAAATTCTACGTCATTGGAGGCTGAGAAAGCATCTTTAGGAATTCATCTGAAACAGCATGAATCAAAGTGCAAGAGTGCAGTGCCAGCCCCGTTTCACATGGGGGCTTCCTCTGCCCACTGCAGATCTGAGAGCAGCAGAGTGCTGCTCAAGTCTCTTGCTCTGCCTGACCAAAGAAGTAGCACAGACTTAAACCCTGTAACATCCCCATCCGGCTCCCTGAAGGCACTGGGAAAAGCCTGCTCCTCTCACATGGAATCTGGATGCAGCCCTGAGAGCATCTCTCCTGGTGCTGGGGCTGAGATCCCTCCCAGCCGTGGGTTGCCAGATGCACATGGCAGAATTACTTGAAAATTTGGGAGAAATCTTTGCTGATCTCTCCTCTAGGTGTGGCTGGAAGCAGTCTGTGGTCTGCCCACAGCAGTGGTGTCCTATGTGGAGACCTGCGGTGCTGGGAAGCACCTGAGCATCCTCCCGTGGCCAGTTTGCTGATGGGTTTATTCCTGTTGGAGGGTGAAGAAAAGGTTGTTCTGTGGCTGTTTGTGATGGAAGGAAGCTTTTGTGGGGGAAGAAGGAATCCCAAAAGTTGGACTGTTGCAGACTGAGCCTCTCTGTCCAGGCTCCTGTGGCTGTGGTTACATCACTGAATGGTGCAGTTGCTCCAACACTTTAAAGCTCTGAGTGACAGTGCAGTCCTTGGCTGATCCCAGGGACATGGGCTGTGCCTGTGTACCTACAGGCATATAAAACTGCATCTTGAGTTATTTGCACTAAGAAAAAGACGGTCTAAATATAAAAGGAATACATAAACTCGATTTCATTTTACATTTTTTTGGTTTTTAAATTGGCATGTTCTTTTGAAATCTACCTGAACCGTGGTCATAAGAATTTTTCTCTTCAGGTCGTGCACAGCAGAGGTGAGATGCCTGACTCTCAATATTATTTTTTTTTCTCTGATAGTTCTTATATGGAAAGAGCAGCTTTTTTTGTTGTGTTAAGTCATAAGCAGTGACAGAGCACCCTGTGTGCTGCTGCAGGTTGGTGTGATGGTCCCTCCCTTGTGCCGATTTCCCCCAGCCCCAGCGCTCTTTGGAGTGGGGCAGAGGAACTACTGTGAGAAGCTTCAAGTCTCATTTCAGAAGCAACAATCTCTACGCTGCCGCTGGGTTTGGCTCCCGCTCGCTCAGGCTTCGTGTCATTTACACGCAGTGAAACAATTTGGGATTGGATGGAACGTTCCCCTCACCAAATTTTGTTAAACTGCAGACTACTGATTTTTTGGAAGAATCAAGTCTTGCTCTCTGGCTGCCACCCCTGTGGTCTGTCTTCAACTGGCGCAGATCAGCTGCTGGCAAGTTCTCTCGTGCGTTGCAAGGACTTTGGATGGGCCTTACCTAAGTGGGAGAGGGTTGTGCACAGTCCCTGTGGCCGGTGGCTGCTTTGACATCACCCAGCATGGGAGGGGAAGTATGGACAGGACCACTGTATTATACACGCTGCACTGGCCTCAACGCAAGTGGTGTCTGCACCGTGTCAGCAACTGCGGCTCGACTCCTTGCTGCATGCAAGTAAGGAGCTGCACTGCCAGCATGTGTCTCATGGGCAAAGCTTTTATTTTCTTTTTTTTCCCTTTTCCTAGCTCATTTCACGGACCTAGAATTCCACTTGCAGACCTTGTCCCATTCTCAACTTTTCTTGCTAAAATGTGGTGCCTACAGATCAAGTATATAATGAATACAATGAAGATACGCTCTATATGCCAAATCTAACCTTTCTCCTTAAATATACAGTTGCTGACTTATGTTTACATAACCTTTAAAATGTGGGCACTAAAATGCCTAATTCCTGTGATTCAAAACCATTCCAAGCCCGAATGGTCCCAAGCCTCACACCTTGCTTCTCTGTTTTGTGTCACGCTCTACTCCAAGGGTCAAAGTCTGTTCCCCTGGAATTCCACTGGAGCTGCTGGTGATGTTAGTGGGAGCAGAGTGAAACTTGCCATGTGTGTGTGAACTGTCCAAATAGTCACTTAAACAGGCTAATTTCTGCAGCCTGTTTAAAGACAGCCTTCTGAGAACCAAATCTCTTCCTGTTTCCAAGTGTCTGGTCCCCACCAGACTGCAGTAGCTGTATGTTAAAACCCAAGGTGTGTGTGCTGACTGGTGGGGTGAATTTAATGTGAAATGGCTTGGACAGCAGCTCTTTTAGGAAAATGCAGGTTTTCTTGGGGTTGGATCTTCAGCTAGTGCACTGATGTAGTGCTGAGTCCCAGGACCACCAGGTTGCCCTGCACCTGCAGAAGAGCTGATCCTCATCATTCAGTAATGGCAAAAATGAAATTCCTATTGCTGTGGGTGGCTTGTGAAATCAGGGGAAACAGGAGACTCCTTCTGAGGTTAGAGAAGGGAAGAAAATGTAGTGATAGTGACTGTAAGGTGTAAGGCAGCAGGATGCTGAAGTGGCAATAATCCTAGAGCAGTGCTGTGGTGGTTGTTCATGTTTCATGATGCCCACTGCACTGTTACGGTGCTCCTCAGTGAGCTAAAAGGTCAGTACAGGCTTATCGGTGGAAAATCTTGAAGGAAAAAAGGCTGGGTTTTTCTCATAATAATTCGTTCAAGTTTAATCACTGACTAGTGACATTGAAAGATAAGGAAAGTAATTAAGATTCCCTCTAAAACTGTTACATGGTAACAGTGAAGCTTGGTGTAGTCATAGCGACTTTTCAAACACTAATCCTAATCATTATGAGAATATTATAAATTACCTGGGATTGCATAAAAGCTTCAAATTGAATTTGTGTACACAGAGTTGAAAAACTTACCTAATACTTCACCATTTATCCAATTTCCCAGCTACTATTTTTAAAAAAAAATTGTAGTATATAGAAAATGTAAATTATATACAGGCAATGAGCAAATACATTTTCAGCTTCTTACAAAAAAAGAGGACTGCAACCTTACATTTTTTCACTTAAATGCAATTTTATACATTTATGTTGCTTTATATAAAGGAAATTGAATGTGAATGTTACCTTTTATGAATGCAACTTGCTCTTTTTTCATTACAGAAACTTTTGTTTGAAGTAATCAATAAACTTTGGTATGTTGTTCTGATTAATATATATTTGTTGTCTGTCTTGTCTCCTTGGATACTCCTGGGTGATAGTTTATTACATGGGCTTTTCCAGGGTAGTACTAGGAAGATCATTTGCATTTTCTCTGGGGAGTAGATGATGGCCATTCTTGGTTGTTTGATGTGGAGCAGCATTTGCCTAAGGAAATACTAGTTGCTTCTCATGTATTTTTATTTTCCCACCAGTGTGGGAATTAGCAATTCTGCTGGTAACAGCTGCTGCACATAGCTGGCCTGTGCACTCTAAACCCATTTCCCTCAAAAATAATGTCAAATTAAGAAAGTGAGTCCCGTGAATTAAGTGAATAAATTGATTTAACTTTGTAGAATAGGTGAGCCCAGAGCTTTGACATTTAGGAACTGGCTGGGAAAAATGCAGGTCCATGTGCCTGATTTCCATATGTGACGTGTTGGTTCTGTGTGTCATGGCTACCTGTAATAAATGAGCATTTCTTAGTTCAAAGCCTAGAAACACACAAATGTGGCTGATTCTGTGCCTTGCAAAGTGCCTGGCGCTGGTGAAGTTCATGCCAGGTATTTGCATTGATGAAATTCCAGCAACTCAGGGAAGCTGTTAAAGCACAACTCACAGTGTTTGTATAATACTCAAGGAAAATACATAGACCTAACTTTTTTTTTTTTTTTTTTTTAAGGACACGGGTCTGATTCAAGCTGAAATGTTTGTAATGAAAAACTGACAGTTTGAAAAATTCTGTTTTGGCTGCTTCGATCCCTGCAGCTCCCATCAGCCACCGCAGGACAGATGGCTGAGCTATTTAAAACAAACTCTAACCTTTCCGAAGCAGCTTGTACTATTGGAAACCAGATACACGCATTCAGAATCTTAATAGCCTGAGTGAGTGATAGTGAAAATCATCTGAAGAGCTGGAAAGGGTTTTACTCTGAGCTGGCTGCACAGGCTGTCAGGACAAAAGCTGTAAATGTAAGCGATGGGAGACGACCGCAGGTCACCGGGTATTTCAGAAAGCACCAAAATTAGCATTTAAAACACCAATGTAGACCTTCTTGTTAGAAAGGAGAAGCAATGTCATGTTGTAAGGTGATTTTTAACAAGGACAGCAATTTTTTTAAGGTCAGGCTATTGGCATGTGAGAGCTCTTGGCACGTGGAGGGGTCATGGTGTCCCTGTCCCTCCCTGTCCTCCAGCAGCTGTTGCAGGAGTTGCATCCACAGCATTCTCACTGCTGGGATTGGGCTTTGCTTCTTAAATCTTCACAAGTCTGGGGATAACCTGCTAAGCTGGAAAATATGCTGTGGCCTGGAGAAAGGGTGTGTGTGCACTTGTATGAGTGTTCCTTCCAAAACCAGGGGTTGTAACAACAAATAAGGCAGGTCTGACTGACAGGGAGAAAGTGAGAGTGGGAGTGCAGAGTGGAGACCTTTCTCTTTTTTTCACAATGAAGTAGGTGACATAAAATCCTCATCCTGATTAAATCTCCCTGCAGGTTTGGCTGGTATCAGCGGGGCAAGGATTTTTACCAGGTTTTGGAGGATCTGCTTCTCGAGGACCTTCTTGGAAAGAGCCCACACCAGACAGTACCCCAGATTGAGGGTGATGCTGCCATCTGCACAAGAAATCCTCATAAAATTCCTGTTTATGAAAATCAACCTGAGCTTGATTGCTCTTATGCACAAGAACTTTGCTGTCACTATGCTTATTCCAGAGGTGAGCAATTCCCTTGGACACCAGTTTGACTCCAAATTGCATTTAACCAGCTCTGTTTTACCAGTTCTCAGCACCTGACTAAACAGGTATTTTTGAAGGGTGATTTCTCAAATTCAAATAATGGCCACAGTCACAACCCAGCATTCTAGCCTTAGCCTAGAAAAAGAAAAAAAAAATGGTGGTTTTTTTCAAATTCAAGAGGTTTTGAATTTCTTTTGAGGGTTTTTTTTTTCCCAGCCTCCAATCTGGAATTAATGAAATTAGTTGAAATTCTTCCTACACCTTCTCCCTAAGATGAGATTTAAAAATAAGGAATTGCATCCACATGAAATAAATCTCTGCAAAGAGGTGCTGCAGGTGCTGGCAAGATATTGCCCAGCTGTGTGAAACAGCTCTTTCCCCTTGCACTCAGGTGTGTAAGTGCCACTCTCAGAATGCTGAACCTTGTTAGGGGCCTTGTTAGGATGGAAAATCCCTGGAAAAGAAACACCTGTATTTCTGGCAGTCATTGTTTGCTTTTTATCCATCTAATTGTTCCTTCTATCTCAGCTTATCATTTCCTGGGCAGGCAGAGAGCAATGCTTGGCTCTGAGGGAGGCAGTCAATCTTCTCCCAGTGTAAAACACAAGAAGCTGGATGATGGTTCCATGGAATGCTGTGCTGGGATAGCTGGGCATTTATTGTGAGGGACTGTAGCAGCCAGGTTTCCAAACCAAGAATTTTTGTGACTATAAGGAAAAGCCATGAGCAATTGCCCTCCAGCCTGAGCAAACACAGCTTTTCCCTGCTGAGAGCTGGCTGAGGTTTTCTTGCACCACCTGAAGTGTCTGGAGGAGGTGCAGCTTTGGGATGTGTAGGATTCCTGCTGGTATCTGGTGCTGTGGTCCAGCCCACCTGGGGCTGGAGTAGGGTGTGTTGGATGCAGAGACCTCATCCAGATCCTGTCTTAATGATTTTGTCTTCTGTTCAAAGATGAAGAAATGGACTGATTACTGAACCTTAGGGATAACAGCTGCATCTTCTACTGTGTAGCTTTGTTTTTCCTGAAGCCAGTGCCAGACATGGGAGTGCAACACTCAGTGGGGGTGAGTCCTCCTCAGCATCTCCTGCACAGTGGTAGAGCAAAAAAGAGACAGTCAGCACTTGGATGGGCTTTGTTTCTCCATGAGCTGTGGCAGTTTAGGGCAAATAGCATCCCTGCAATAAGAATACAGCAGGAATGTGGTGTGGCTGTCTTTCCTTACTTGTAGCTTTGCATATGGCTATTTTATAACCACATTTTATTGCTGTGCACCTCAGCCAGATTTTTTGATGAGTAACTGCACATGAACTCTCCCTGTCACACAAGATGTGTTTTATGACCAGACAGAAAATCATCTATTCAAACTGTTCTGTTGGTGAGGATTTGCTGTGTCACAAACAAGGAGTGCTGCCTGAATGGGCAGTATCAGGGGACATCTGCATTAGTGTAAGAAGAGCCATGGTCTACCCAAAGACACTGTTTTTTATTGTTAGACCTTGGGTTCTAAATTAATAACTCCTCTGGCTGCTAAAGTGTTGGGAAAAGGCTGTTATTATAGTAAGGAGCATAATTAAAAGGTTGTTTTGGAAAAACAGGAACATCCACTTCTCTGTGCTGCCTTCCTGGGCAGCTCAGGCTCCTGTTGAGAATGAGCTGGCATCGTTTGAAACTCAGCATCGGGGAAACTGAGAATGATGCCTAGAGCTCTGGCCAGCGTTGGCTGTAGTATGGTTTAATGTAGTTCTTATAAATTGTTCAAGGAATTTGCTAGAATGCTGCTTGCAGAGGATGGAAACGCTTTTTATTTTTTTTCCTTAGAGAATCACTGTAGGCACTAAGGCAGGGAGCAAATCCAGCTGCAGGGTGGTGTGCGGGGGGGCACTGGGAGTAGTGGTAAGTTAAAAAAAGGGAAAAAGAAGAAGGATTAAAAGCAGGGGGAGGAAGAAAAGAAAGGCAAAAAGGGGGGTAAAGGAAAAAAGAAAGTGAAAAACAAGAAAATGGAAAAAAGAAGGCTAAAGGAAAAAAGAGAATGAAAAACAAGATAAAGAAAAAGGAAATAAATAAAGGGAAAAAGATAAAAAGGGGAAAAGAAAAAAGGGAGGAGAGGAAAAATGGGGAAAAAACAGGGGGAAAGGGGCAAAGTGAAAAAAATAATAAAGAGGGTAGAAAGGGGGAAAAAAACAAAAAAGGAAAAAGGGGGGAAAAGGAAAAGAAGAGGGGGAAACGGAAAAGGAAAAAAGGGAAGGGAAAGAGAGTGAAAAGCAAAAAGGAGGAAAAAAGACGGAAAAGGTGGGGGGGAGAGAGAAAAAAATAAGGGGAAAAAAGGTGGGAAAAAAAGGGGGGGGGGATAGGAAAAAGGGGAGAAGGGAAGAAAAGCGGAAAAAACAAACAAACAAACAAACAAAAAAGCCGAAATGGGCCGAAGGCGGCGGTGGCTGGGCGGTCGCTGGGGCGGCCGGGGCGGTGCGGGGGGCGGTCGGAGGGGCGGCCCCGCCTCGGCGGCCGCGGGCCCGGGGCGGCGGTGGCGGAGCGGCGGCGCTGCCGGCGGGGAGCGCTGCCCGGGGCATGGCCCTGGCCACGGCCCCGGCCCCGGCCGGGCCCCCGCCGGGGGGCACCTCGGCGGGGGACATGGAGCGCTACTACCGCCTGCTGCGCTCCGCCGCGCTGCTGGAGGCCGCCGCCGGTGAGTGCCGGGGCCGGCGCGGGGCTCGCAGGTGTCGGAGGCGGCGGGCGGGGGGCGAAGGGCTTTCCCCGGACACCCCCCGTGGGAGCAGCGGCTCCCGGCTGTCGCTCCCCATCCCGGCGGGGAGCCCACAGGTGCCCCATCCCTCCCCGGCCGATCCTCGGCTCGATGCCGGTGCCGGGGGCAGGCGGGCGCGTTGTAGGCACGGGGACGCGTCGGAAGGGTTCGTCGCACGCGTGTTCCCGAGCACTCGAGGTGTTATTTTGTTGTGTGTTCAATGGACGGACGGCACGATCGGTGCGGAACGGCCCCGGGTTTTGCTGAGAAGCTGTGTCCCACTGCGCCGCTGACATTCCCGTCGTGTGGCTCAAAGTGCGGTTTGAAGACGGGAGATGCTGCCGGTGACAGGAGAGTGTTCACCAGTGCGAGTCCCCTGCTCACATTCCCATGGCCAGAACTAGAGAACTCTTCCCTGGGAAGTTGCATCTCAACCTGATGACAATGCCTGCTCTTTCACAGGGTCTGAACTAGAGAAGCGGTAGATGGGCGTAAGGTGTGTGTTGCTCTGTTAGACACCCTCTCTTCCCTTCCTCACTTCTTGGTTCTCAAACACCTCTGAATCCCAGATTATGCCAGGAATGCAGCACTGTACTGATGTGGCCGTGGTTCTATGGCTGCACACCCTGAATGTGAGAAGCAAATGCAATCTGATCCCTTTCCTAAGGCTGTAGCTGCCTCAGCGATGTTTCCTTTGATGGACAGTGATCTGCTTAGAATCTGTGTGGAGCCCTCACTTTTTCATTTTGTTTTTTTCCCATGGGGAGTACATGTATTTTTGCAATGAGGTCTTTCCTCATCGAGGAAGGGTAGTGGCACCTTGGGTGACTTCAGCCTTCCTAGAGGATGCAGGAGTCAAAGGCACACAAAGGTACCATTCCTTGTATGTTCACAGCTGGCAGAGCACTTGGAGCTGTGCCAGACACAAAAAAGACACACTGACCAAAAAAAAAAAAAGCTTCCAGTCTAATTCCAGGTTCCCTGACCTCTTTGAAAAGCCCAGTTTGGGGTTCAGGAAGAATTTATCAGAGGGTAGGTCACAGGTGTGGACTTAACCAACGTGCCACCTGCTTCTCAGGAGCTGCTTGTGTACATACCCTTCTGGGATGATGCCAGCGGCACCTTCTATCCTGGCTGTCCTGCCTGCTGAACCCTGTTCAATTCCCTGCACCCAGCAAACAGAGTAGGAAAACATAGGCAGGGATGGTTGTGGTCAGTTAGGAAAGGATGCTGCTTGAATGGATGTGATTAAATCCTCCTTGTGCTGGTGTCAGCACGGAACACCCACGCCGCTGGAGAGGAGCTGGGTGACACGGGGATGGGGACACAGATGGTGAACGTTTGTTATGTGCGATGTAACAGGAGCCGGGTGAAAGCAGGTAGAAGGTTTCCTGTGAGCATGAGTGCTCTCTCCTGACCAGCTCTTGGCAGCTGACCTTTGTGTAATGCTCATACAAAAGAAAAATATCCCCACAAAGGCACACTTGTGTGGTTATAGCTGCAGGACCCGGACGCGTGATTTGGCATCTATATAGGTTCTTAAAATGAGATATTGAAAAAGAAACAAAGTTGAGTAAGGTTCCCCAAATCATGAGATTAAAAATAAATCAGAGGGTTTTTTCCCTCATCTCGGATTTCTGAGCAGCCAGCCTAATCTGGGACCATGTTTTAACCATTTCTTTTCACGCAGAAGTACTGGAAATTTGTTGGTCATTTCTAGTAGAAGGTGATGTTCCCTCCATACCTCCCTTACAGTGAGTTAGAAGTCTGTATAAAACCCAAGCCTTTTATGGCCATTCTCATCTCTGAAAAGGCTTGGGCTCCCTTGCAGAGCTGCAGGGCTACAGCAGCCTCCAAAAGCTCTGTACTGCTGTCAGTCCAGACCCTTTGGGGTGGACCATGGAGGAGTAGTAGTCTGGGAGCAGTCACTAGTATGTGGGATGCACTTCCTCTCCCTACATCACATTTGCTACAACCACAGTTTAATGGTTTATCATTCATGTACCAGGACAAAAGTGGAGTGACAGCAGGGCTGTGTGGGAGGGAGCAACTGAATTGTAGAACATGGTGGAGGAAAGAAAGAGTTTTCCAAAGTGCTCTTTTTGCCACTGAACTGGAGGATACTTGGAGACATGGAGCTTCTCCTCTGTGCCTGGAGATGGGGAGTTGAGAAGTCAGACATTGCCCCTGATTGTGCTGCAGTAGGAGCATTTTGTAAAGGTTGGTTTTGGCAGGTAG